TGATCGAGCTTTGTGTGGATCAAATAAATAACTTGCATCCGCATAACCAATTAATCTTGTCTTTGATTTTTAATGTAATATAAGCCCATATCAATTGTTCATCGAGTTAACATAGTATATGTTTAATTCAATTCCAATGTCTTCGTGTTAGAGCAGAACTATAACTTGCTAATAAATTTACGTGAAAATGCTAAATCGAGTCGCGTATTATTAGCAAGATATATTAATGCACCAATTGCATTAAGGTATGGTACTTCGGGACCAAGAAGTTCTTCGTTTTCTTCTTGAGGTCGAAAAAGGATCCTTTTGGATATCAAGTGAATGAACTACCAATGGGCTAGTTAATGAATGATCTTTATATAGAATCATTATAGAACTTTTTCCTATATAAATTGACCGATAAATAAAAATCTCTTTCTTTGAGTGATCGAACCGTAGGTTGAGATAACATTTTTTTCCAAGGTATTTATATCAAATTCTCTTTTTAGATAACTTATGACACTTGAAATCTTTTCGGGAGTTCCAATAATATTTAAGTTATCAACATATACAACAAACTCCTTTTCAAATAAAAATATATGAACAAATAGAGTTATTTTTTTATAACTTTTTTCAATAAATAATTATTGAAGTGATTATATCACATGCACACTCGGTTAGTAATAAATAGTAGATACAAAAATAAAATATAAAAAAGTATAATATAAATTGAATTTCTAAAAAATAAAATAATAAAAAAAAATTAAAATAATTCTAATAGAGATCTCTATAATTTAATTGAATTCTTTTTTCAAGAATATATATTACATGCTTCTAGCATGTTAAGTCCCTCTAGGACTTTCATATTGATATCATTTCAAATGAATAAATAAACTGTGATCACATTCATTAAGTGCATGCATATAAATGTTTTTCATATATTTTTCTAGACTAATGAGATAACAAAAGATAATTACATCTATTATAGGAGAATATGTCTCCTCATAGTCAATGTTAGTTCTTTGCAAAAACTCTTGTGTTATAAGTCTTGCTTTATATTTCATAATCTCATCTTTCTTATTTTGTTTTTGTGTAAATACATATTTTTATCCCACTAGCGTAACATCTTAAAGGGTTTTAGCTATGGGTTCAAAAACTACTCTTTTATAAGAGAACATAATTCTGCTTAGATTGCTCTTTTCATTTAGGCCAAACATCTTTATGTCGATATTCTTCAATAGATTTTGGCTTAGGATCCTTATTTTCATTCAAAATATCAATTAAAACAATATATACAAATAATGTTTCTTTTTTATTCTTATTTTCGCCATGTATTGATATAATTTATCAACGTCTCTTAATTTTTCTCAAGCATTTGGACTTTTTCTAGAAGCCTATTATCAAAAATATCGTTGATCGTTTTATAAATATTGACATCTTTTATATTGTTATGTTACCCTTTTCTTTTAGGGATTTTTATCTTTAGAACCGATCAGTCTTCCAAGCTTTAAGCGTGTTTTAGGTTCATTGGCTATAACATTAATAGACGGCCTTCTAGGGTATCAATTCTAATAGGAGCATTCTCAACGAGGACATGCATTATAGTTACTCATCTAGGATCCGAGAATGCATCTAGCAATTGATTTGTAATACTTTATAAATGAATTATCTTTTGAACTTATAATTCACATTGTTTTGTACAAGATTGAATATGATATAAAGATAGAGTACTCCATGAATCTTTTTTTTTTCAAAATTTTCAACTCGTTTATTCTCTCCTCCTAATGTTGAAAAAACAGTTTCATCAAAATGATAATCGATAAATTGAGTTGTAAAAATACCTCTTGTTTATGAATCAAGAGATTGAATTATCAAAGAGGATTCAAATCCAACATATATGCCCAATCTCTTTTAAGTGCCTATTTTAGTTCATTATGGAGGAGCACTACGGATATATACTATAATGCTCAAAATTCTTAAATGAGAAATACTTGATTCATAACAATAAATCAATTGAAGAGGGGAGAATTTCGATAACTTATGGGTTTGATACGAATAAGTGTTGCTGCATGTAAGATTGCATGTCCCCAAACATAAACATGGAGTTTCATTTTTATAAATAATGGTTTATAACACGTTATAAAAAGAAATTTTGAAGTTCTTGTCACTTGTATTCACATTATAGTGATTTCATTTTCTTATCATCCTTTGTTTCGATTCTCTTATTATTTCTATTTTTTTTATAACACGTTATCGGCACGAAGCTCTAACCAATCGAGATAATAGATTATAAGGTATGAATATACCAAAAGACTTAATCAATTATTTCAATCGTTGGATTTCTTCTACATAAGTGCTCTACCAAAAGATTTAAATTATTTAGATCATTAAGAGGTATGTATCTAATTTATTATGTACTTTAAATATAAAGATATATAGAATATATATTTGAAAAACTTAAATGATTTAACATATAAAATCTAATGATCTAATATATATTTGAAAATCTTTAATTTTATTATAATGCTTATTCTTATTTTTTAATATTATTATTATATACTATATTATAGAATTTTTATCATATCAAATCTCATAAACTTGATTTTGCAGCTCTTGATATTTCGAATAAGAATTATTGATTATGAGTGTTTGATTTTGAAAAAATATTCTCTACTTTTTATGTCTTGAATATGCTCCTGCATTAGCATATCGAGAAAAAGAGTTTAAGAAATCTTTTGAATCAATTTTAAACTTGTTAGTGGCTAAATAAAATCAAAAGCTATTGATGAAAAAGAATAAATCTCATGCAATTGGATCTACTCCATTCCCCGAAGTGAATGTGACAATTTATAATAATTTTGGACATGGACAAAGATATGATCATAGCCATGGATGTAATCATAATAATTATCATTATAATTGTGACGGCCATAATATTACATCTCACAACCGAAGTGGATAATTATGAAAAAAAAGAACAAAAATAAATAAAGTTAGTATTCTTAAAAAATAAATATTATAGATGTGGAATAATGAATATTGATCATGTATCTGCCGTACACCAAAGCACCTCATTGAGCCTTGTCAAGCCTTATTGAAAAATAAATAGTAAAATATGAAGGCCACTTTTATATATGAAAATAATAGTAATTGAAATTAATTACTTGTTATTTTTTCTATTTATAAATAAAATATTTAATATTTCTTATAATTTATATCGCATAGTGATTATTACAAATTTATTTTAGTATTTATTTGTTTGTTTTTGTTTATGAGGAATATAAATATTTATTTATTTATTATTGATTTATTTGATTATTTACTTTATGTTAATATTATATATGATAATATCAATCTAATAGAAAGCTCTAGAAGAGCGATTATATCATTATCTAAATAGATAAATTTTTGAAGCTCTAGAAGAGCGAATATATTATGACATGAAGAGATAAATTTTTGAAGCTCTAGAAGAGTGGATATATTATTATTTGAGGAGATAAATTTTAAAGGCTCTAGAAGAGTCGATATATTATTACTTGAAGTGATATAATTTAAAGGCTCTAGAAGAGTAAATATGTTATTATCCGAAAGGATAAATTTTATTATAAATGATGTACTATTCTCTTCAAAGACTCATAGAAATTTATTGAGCGTCAAAGATATTCATCTAAATTGATATCATATCAAGATAGCAAATATGAATACAAATGGTAAGAACTTCAAAATTTCTTTTATTCTTTCTAGAAAACTTATACACCAACTAATAAACAATCAAGCCTATTTATAGGCTTCGAATTTGAGAAGAAAATTGGAAGGGTCTATGAATAATCAATTGCATCACCCTTTCAATATCTCATATTGAATGATGAATTGAATTATATTAAGAATCATGAGTAGTGAGGATATGAAAAGTAGATAAACATGATGATGGACATTCATTATTTCATAACATTATCTTCATTTTCTCATATATATATATATATATATATATATATATATAAAGAGTAACCCTAAAGTATTAATAAGCTTATTGATTTATGGTCTTAATTAAGAGTACTATGTGATATAATACAAGATTAACAATAAAATATTTTTAAAGATATATATTCAGAGTGCTGTGTCACCGTATTTTTTTTTTTTTTTTTTTGTACAAGTGTAATTTCTTTTTCACCTCAACATTGTCATTGTTTTTATGAATTTTCATGTTTCAGGGACATTTTGTACAATAACTTTAATATACCATGTGAAAATATAACATGCTTGGGACAGGATAACCTAAACATGCAAGGAGACATCAAATTCCTATCCATTTGGCATGTTGAGACAAATTTATAGATTTTTGTAAGTTATTCATCATAGTGTCTCACTGATATTATTTGTCTGATTTCATGATCTTGGTGTTTTTCTAGTCACCCGACTAAGTACGTGGTATCTTCATTTTCTCATTTTTTGCAATAAGAGTAACTCTCAAGTATTTCTAACAAATTTCTGTGTTAATTTCTCAGATCTTTCATAGATAATATGCGGAAGGAAAAAAAAATGTCATCAGAAGCGTCTGTTCTTTCTTTTGTATGCTGAATGAAATTGTCTAGCTTATAGTAAATATGAAATTAGAATTCCTTATCCAACTTTATTTTTTGACACAGATAAAACCCTCCAATCCATAGTCATCATTTAGACTGTCAAGGATTTAAAATTATTTCGTAGTCAGTAATAGTTAGCAGAATAAGGAAGTCGTATTATCATAGTAGAGACTAGATTGGTCACCGGCCAGGAGCAAAGTTGAGATGTTATTCTGGTTCTCTTATAAAATGCATTAATTGTTTAAACCCAAACTCTCTAAAGTTAGCAGAATAAGGAAGTCGTATGACATCCTTGCAAGTGGAAGAGAGTCACTAAAATTAGACAAGAGGCCTTAACACCTTCTTTATATTAGTAGAGTTTGTTATCATATTTCCACTAAAATGAGTTTTCTTACAGATAGATACTTGTTTATAAATTGTGGCGGCGAGGGGGTAAAAATGGAAAAAGATTATTATCAGCCGGATAACTCAACAGAGAGCTTTTGTCTAAGAACTGGGCTTATAGCTTTTCTGGAGACTACTTTTGGGCCACAACCGACTATTGGAGTACAATCAATGGAAGTACTTTAGTAAGAAACTCGACGCGTGAAGTTTCTAGTCTTGAGGCAAAATTAGACAACAGTTTTCGTCTTGCTCCTGTTTCTCTAACGTATTATGGGCTCTGCTTGCGTAAAGGCAATACAATGTGACACTTCATTTTGCTGAAACATTATATTCAAACGGGGAAAAAACAGCCGGAAAGGCGTGTTTGATGTATATATTCCGGTAATTATTTTCACATTTCAGAATGGCGATTTAAGTACTAATGTTACATTCTTAAGAAACTCTTGATTGCAGAAAGAAAGGGTGAAGGAAAATCTAAACATAGAGGAAATCTCTGGACCACAAAATGAAGTAAGAAAGCAAAATTTCCCCGCTACAATACAGTATGGTTCGTTGGAGATCCAGTTCTTCTGGACTGGATCTCTGTACAATCCACTTCCCGTCAATGGACCTCTCATATCAGCTGTTGCAGTCACCCGTGGTAGGAAGCAACACCTTCCCTTTTCTGATAAAAACCAGCATTCTGTTAATCGAGAATAATTTATTGCTTGCTGTTTACAAGCTGTTGTTTTCTGTTTCCAATGTTCGCAGAAAACTAAAACCTTGGGAAATCGCGGTAATTACAGTAAACTGTATTTTGTTTCTGCTGCTGTTTTTAGCCTTTATGTGGAGAATGCGCTGGATAGGAATCCATGAACGTAAAAATTTGTTTTCTATCTGAATAATCCGTTAAAAAATTAAATTAAGTCACATGTTATTGGAAACAAAAGTGAAGATCGGAGAAAGAATTTCACCCTTAAACAGATCATTGATGCAACTAAAAAATTTAGCCCTAGGACGGAGCTTGGTAGGGGGCGTTCTGGGATACTATACAAGGTTAAACTCTTTTCTAGTTCATTAATTTTTGTCCTTGAAGGAATAATTTTTTTATCTTTTTTGAATTTTCCTCATTTTGACTTGCCATGAATGCAGGCTGAACTGCCAGATCTGAATGTAGCAGTGAAGAAGCTGTTCTCACAATCAAAAGCGGTCGATGAAATAGCAAGTGAAGTTCATGCAAAGAAGGCCTTGGTCTCGAAACATGAAAACCTTGTCCAATTGCTTGCTACATATTCCAGAAGGAACCTATATTTGCTAATCTACGAAAATATGGAACTTGGCTCACTTGGAAAAGTTTTATTTGGTAATTTCCTTTATCTCTCAGTTTCTGTCCCAATTTGGCACTTACAAATTTGGCTAACCATGTTTCTTCTATTAGTGTAGCTAGGATTTATTTGATATGTTTCATTTTATTATAGAATATTATAAAAACCATATTTGTAGGTCTCATCATTTCACTTAACAACGTAAAGGTTTTGAATTGAAATGGTTTTTTAAGATGATATCAGAGGTTTTTTTTTTTTTTTTCCGTGTAGTTTTTACTTGCTTGGAGCTATGGATAGATTATATCTGTATTTGTTTTGAGATTGTCAAATGGCCTTTGAAAGACTACTAAACATAAGAGGACACTGAATATTGACTTGGGGATTTGCAGATCCAAATTCTACGGTGCAACTTGATTGGCCAAAAAGATTTACTATCTGCCTGGGTATAGCCAAGGGTTTACTGTATCTACATGAAAGGTATCCATAAATATTTCACAGAAACATGAAAGCCAATAATATTCTTGATCCAAATTGTGACGCCAAAATATCCGATTTTGGATTGGCAAAGTTTTATGAGGAGGAAAGTTCATATAATATCATGCAAGCTGGAAGAGACGAGTTAGTAACATAGCTCATCCTTAATTTATCCACTTTCTTATCAATTCGATTCTGAAAAGACTCCGAGCACAATCAATAAAATATAATTTTTCGTTGCTATACCAGGCTAATATATATAAATAAATTTGATTTATAGGCATAAATACAAGACTGTTTGGAGAAATTTGTTTTTCTTACTTAATCTACGGTTTCCATTGTTGCAGTTCATACATGGCCCCAGAATATGCAACCAGAGGAGCCATCACTGTTAAAGTCGATGTCTACAGTTTCGGGATCCTCCTTCTTGAAACCTTTAGTGGCAAAAATAATGCAGATTATAGTGGAAACCAAGAATATGTTTTCCTTCTCGAAACGGTATGAGATAAGTATTAAATTCTATGAACTAAAATATTTAGGATATGTGATACTCCTTGGAGATGTCTGTAAAACTAATGGGGTTACACAAACGCAGGCTGGTAAATCATATGCGAGGGGCAGACTTGCAGAATTAGTCGATGCAAGAATGGTCCGATATAATTGGGATCAAGTCAACACCATCCTGACATTAGCAATCATGCGTGTCGATCTATCGCCTTCTATAAGGCGTACAATGTCTCAAATTCTGAGTGTACTTGAAGGTGAAAAATCTTTTGAGGAGATTTCTCGTGAGGTCAATAACCTCAGCATGATTTTTAGTCTGTCCTGAGTGATCTCACAGTCAAGGTAGCTTGTTTGGTTTGCAGTTTTTTTTTTTGTTTTTTGTTTTTTTTAATGGAAATGCAGCCCGTGGGAACCTCATTTATGTGATAAAGCACTCTGTTTTCATGTTATTTTTGTATGTATGTTGCCCCTAATTACATTTCTTCTCTTCTCACAAGTTGTTTGCATTGCTGTAACAAAAAAGATAAATGGTCTTCTAATATTCTATCACGTAAGTATTTCAATTAAAAAGTTTAAGTTGTTGGATGAAGTTTTAGGATATAATTTATATTACTCTACATAACTTTTTAACACACTTCCTCACATGCAAGTTCAAAGCCCTTTGAGCTTGCACAAACCTATAATTTATATTACTCTACATAACTTTTTAACACACTTCCTCACATACAAGTTCAAAGCCCTTTGAGCTTGCACAAACCTATCACTACCTTGTGCTTAAGTCTTAGGATATAAATTTATATTATTTTTTAACACATTACTCTCTAATACACTCTCTCCGAAGGAACTAAGATGTTGTTTGGTAATCGGGAATAAAGTGATGGGAATGAAAATGGAAGTTTATTCCCACATTGTAGCTATTTGGTTAAAAGGAATGAAATGGGAATGGGAATGAAAATTTATACACAACTTCATTCCTACATAAGATGTGGGAATAGAAACAAGGAATGAGAATGATATTTTTTCAAAATAATAATATATTTTATTTATTTATTGTCTATTAACTACTTTTACCACCATCACCACCACTACCACCACCATGACAATAACAACAACCACCACCACCATCATCATCACCATCATAACCACCACCACTACAACCACCATAATCATCACCATTGCAAACCACCACCACCATCATCACCACCATCACAACCACCATTGCTACCTCCACCACCACCATCATCATCATCACAACAACCACCACCACCACTACCACTACCGTAATCATCACCACAACTAGAACCACTACTATCATAACCACAATTGCTACCATCATCTTTATTATTTTTACAATCATTATAGTTTAATAAAATTAAATTTTTAATCATTATTTTTATTTGTATAAAAAATCAGATATTAAAAAATTTAAATTGTATTCCGATTCCTTATCGGTATTCCAAACATAGTATTGGAATACAAATACCATTCCGATTCCTTAATTTTCATTACAATTCTTGCATTCCCATTCCCATCATTCTATTCCCGATTACCAAACAACACCTAAAGTAAGTTAGTAACTTTGTCACACTTACTTTGTATTGCGAGAGACTCTTTAAATTGAGTTACGGAGAGTTATAGGGATAAAGACCTTGTTACGTAAAGTTACGGAGATATGTTGAGTAGCTAACTCTTATTCCGATATGTACGAGTTGCTAACTCTTTTCCTTATCATCCTTCCTCAAGCTCGGTTGGCGGTTGCACGGTCGGCTTGGTAACTTGGTGGATGAACTTGCATTTAGCAAAAAACTTTGACACAATATCAGCTAATTATTCTTTAGTGGAGATGTAACACTTGTAACTCACGCTTGCCGACTTTATCCCCGAGAAAGTGGAAATCAATTTCCAAGTGTTTGAACGAGCATGAAACACTTGGGTTGGCCATGAGATAGGTGGCTAGGAGATTGTCACACCATAAGATCAAAGGTTTTTGTAAAGAAAACCTTATTTCTTGAAGTAGAGATTGAACCTAGGTGACTTATGAGGTCTGTTGTTGCTAGTACTTGATACTCGGTATCAATGGACGAATGTGCCACAATTTTCTATTTGCATGATGTCCAAGAAATGAGATTACTATTAAGGAAAATTACTAAACTGGCGATATTTTTTCTATCAATGAGGTTGCCTCCCTAATTTGCATTTATGTAAGCCGATAGGTGGAGGGAAGATGAAGCGATAAGAAAAAGATCCTAAGTTACCATGCCTCTTAAATACCAAAGAATTTGTTTAACTAAGCACTAGTAATCAACTATAGGAGCATCTATTAATTGAGTTACATGATTGATGGAAAAAGAAACAAATAGTCTTATCGGTGTTAGTTATTGAAGTCCACCAATAATACTTCTAAATAAGGTTTGTTGTCAAAAGTATTAGTTCCTAATTAAAGGAACATTGACTACCCGGTGTGGATACTGTGGCAACATCATACATATTTTCTCTTTTGAGAAGACTCGAGTATATTGTGATTGATAGAGGTGTAATCTTCCTTTACTTCTAATCACCTTTTTTCCAAGGAAAAAGTGCACATAACCAAGAGGTTTAACAGAAAATTGTTGTTATAGACCGGAGATAATTTTTCTTATAAGTCTTTGATTATTATTAGTAACAAGGAGATCATTAACATAGATTAGGCGAGTAGATAATGGTTGTTCCATGGTGATAGATCACAAACGATGTATCGGTTTTAGAACCAATAAAGCCTAGCTAATAGAGAATAGTGGTGAGGTTGTTATACCACATTTTAGGTGCTTGTTTGAGTCCGTAAATAGATCTTTTGAGAGCTCAAACATGATCTCGTGTAACACCCTCGACCTAAGACCTAAATAGATCGAGCATTATTAGCAATGTCTTACATTTTAAGTGCAATGAGTGCAAGATATTAAGCCTTGTGTCCTTAATTACCGTTTGCATTATTATTGCACATCACGAAAGCTTATTGGATTTAATTAATTAGGCCCAACCTTTAAATAAATTATGTATAATGTTTTCTCAAAATAAGTACTTTTTACAAAAATACTTGTTTAGTCAATTATATAGAATTACTTGTCTAAAATTTTGCTTGAAAACTTATAATCATAAAACTTAATTTTAATACTTTGATAAAATACTTTAAATAAAAGTAAACTAATTTGTCTTTTTTTTTTTCCTAATTCTTTTTATAAAAATTCCAATTTAATCATAAAATCAAGTAATCATCTTAAACAGATTTAGTATACATAAATATTTCTTAAAATATAAATTAATTGTAAAGTAATCCATTAAATTAGAAAATAGTCCATTTACCTTTACTTATTTAATCACCAATTAAATGGGTCCATAAATTAGAAGTGTTGTTACTTTAATTTAATAAAGATCCTTTAAATTAGTAAACCAATTAATCAAATCAATTAAAACTTTAATTTAGCCCTTCGAATGCTAAATTATGGATTAAATCTTTGGAAAACCATTTTAAGCTTAAAAAACATCAATTTCAATTAATTGAATGAAAATCAATTAAATTTAATCCATTAAACCCAATTATTTCTTACCAATTAAATTCGAGTTACTATCAACTTATTAAATCTAACTTATTCAAGTCATTAAATTAAAGCCATTAAGTCAATTAATTCATTTAATACTTTAGCCATTTAATTCTAATTAAACCAAATTTTATTTTTGTATTTAATCCAATTAATCACTTGAACCAATTTTATTAGTCCAACCATCAATTTAATTTATTAAACTTTAATTAAACCAAATCAAGCACATCCATTTATTTAATATCTATAGAGTTAGTCTAGGAATATCATTATTTAACAACCTTTCAGTGCTAAACCTAGCACACCTTTTAAGTTTAAAACTTAATATAAAAGAGACAAAAAGGTCTTCTCATTCACACCTAATTTATTAAGCACACACATCGGCAAGTCGGTCTTCCTTCGGCAACTTGAAGCATGTCATTATTTTGGACCTTTTTCACCTATACCATAAGAAATAAAAGGTGAGCTAATGCTCGGTAAGTGTAGTCATGTATGCATGATGCATTGAAATATATTTTCATGATTTTACAAATATGTTTTTTGTGATCGGGTGCACCCTACGGAATATAGTTATATATATTCAGCTTTTCCATGAAAAACATGTCTCGAAAAACCTTGAAAAGTATTAGACATGTTCCCTGTGAAGTCTATGATTTTACTATGATTCCTATGATGCCAATAAAGAGTTTACACTAGATCATTCTCTTTGTATGTCATGATTAAGCCTCGTGATTGTGATTGAGACATGCCTAGCCATTTTTTTGAAAATCCATATACTTAATTTTATCTTTGAAAACATGAACATTATGAAAACTAGTTTATGAAATGCATGACAAACATGGCACTTGTTTAATCAACCAAGCATCACATGAGAATGACATTAAACCATTCCATGAGCATCAAGATCAATAAATTAGCCGTTAGGCTAAATTCGACCATAAACATCCCTTGATCCATTTTAACATGAAACCAATTAATTATCATAAGAATTCATTATCAAATAATTGTTTTACCAACAAATTGCACAATTATCATATAATATAACAAAAAGAAATAAACATCAACACCTATATAATTCCAATCTTGGTCGAATCATTTAAGAACCAATAAAAAACATCAAATTTGTCTTAGCCATAATCAAGCATGAAAACAATCAATTTTCATCTAAACATATCATTATTCAACCCAAATTAACTAAACCTAACTTAATTATCATTAGTTATATGTAAATTGTACTAATTTACTAAAAAAAAAAAGGGATTTAAATAACCTTCCTCCTAAAATTCTAGATTTACCTCTAATACAACAACAACCATTAACTTCACGTATTCAACCCTTTTAAAGCTCCTAAACCTTATCATCTCTTATTCATAAATCTAACATATGATTCAACATAATCAAATGACAATTGGCATAACTCAACCAATTAAGAATCATTCCAACATAAGTTCACGAAATTAGGCATTTAGTCTAAAATACAAATCTTAAATTCACAAAAAAAAAAAAAACATTCAAACATTTTTATTCACTCGCAAATTCATCACATAATATCACATATATTTCGATTACATAAGTTAAACCAATTACACCTATTAATTCTATTAATCTAAATTCAAGAATTACGGCCAAAATGACTAACAAAGATATTCAACCCAAAATTTTCAATAATTAAAACATTCCTAATCCACTTAAAGAACACCTAAGAATGCAAAATTATGGAAGTTAAAATTTTTCCCTCAATTTCACTATT